TAATGCAGTCTGGACTTCAAACAGCAGACAAGCCAAGGGTCTGTGAAGGTCTGAATCAGAACTGCCATCTCCAATTCTTGAAGATAGTAATGCACCCACATTTATTTATTTATAAATATATGATTATATTTGTGAATCAATAAAAATTCTTAATTCCATGGGCTGGCTCAGTGGTAGAGCACTTGCCTTGCATGCCTGAGGCCCTGGGTTCGATTCCTCAGTACCACATAAGCAAAAAAGAAAAAAGCCGGAAGTGGCGCTGTGGCTCAAGTGGTAGAGCGCTAGCCTTGAGCTGAAGAGCTGAGGGACAGCGCCCAGGCCCAGAGTTCAGGCTCCACAACTGGACCTCCCCCCAAAAAAGAAGAAGGGGAAACAAAGGAGGAGGCTACAATGCTTGATAAGAAATGTACTCATTATCTTGCCCATGTAATTGTAACCCCTCTGTACAGTATTTTCGCAATTAAAAAAAATTCTTAATCCCAGTTTAACAAAGCCTCATCTGAAGAGTGAGGCAGTTGTGCCCATCCAGACAGAGAGGATAGACACTGACCATAGCTATTCAGGGTATGAGGAATGCCACTTTTGAGAGGTCACTGCTACTGGTGAATAAGAGTGGACAAATTCTGGGCAGATCCCATGAGCCATGACAAAGTTTCCCCTCAGAAAGTGAAGAGCATTCTAGTGGATTGCCTCAACTGAATAGCTGTGTACCAAAGAAGCAAAAGGGTCCAGCAGTGGCAATGGGGATGACCAGCCATCCCACATCAAGAATGGCGCGGAAGGGCATGTACCTGCGGAAGAGGTAGGGTTGGGCTTTGCCTTCTACTCTAATTTCTTTTCTTTCTTTCTTTTTTTTGTTGGTCATGGGGCTTGAACACTGGGCTTGGGTGCTGTCTCCAGGCTAGCGCTCTACTGCTTGAGCCACAGCGCCACTTCCTCTACTCTAATTTCTAAAGGTTCTTTCTAAACTTTTTTCAAAACTCAGTAGCAGATAAGGCAAATTTTTGAGAATCAAGGGCTTGAGATTACTTGTGCATAGATACGGAAGAGAAAAGAAGCTCATCCAAGCAAAAACTTCACTGGACTTCATGGTATCTGCATTGAATACTGTTTCAAGATTTCAATGTGGACTAGATGCTGGGGATTCTGTGTCTTTTATTTCAGAGAGGTAGCAAAAGAAGCATTGCTTGTTCTTCTTTAGAGATGAAAGCTAAAGTGAGGGGAGTGTATTTCTTGGGAGCCCCAGCCTGTTAGGGCAGAACTGAGGCTGGATCTGTGTTTTCCGACTTTTGGTCAGGATGTTTTTCTCTGCCTTGTACCAGATCTGCCACTGCCATTCTGTTCAATACAGCTGGAGGATGGAGAGTAAGATAAGTGTATCTTTGGAGAGTGTCCTAAAAATCCTGGAACAGGGGAGGAGCATGGGCTGGGGAGGCTCCTTCTTTCCCAGGTTTGAACTCTGTGTGTGGGACAAGGCCACCAGGTAGGCACCTGGGAGGCCCCTCAGTGACCTTGCTTGGCCTGGCAGTCAGCTTTGAGCATGGGGAGACTGACTAATGCCTCCTTAAGCTAGTGTTATGAAGCAACAGAGAATGCATTTCCAATTTTCATGTACAGGCACCTGGAGGTGTGAGGAAATCAAGAACTTCTTTGAAATGAGGAGTGATTTAAATCTTGATGTCTCTTATATTCATTTAAACCACAGGAGCTAGGAGGGAGTCACAGGCTTCGCCAGGCCCACAATTCTCCTAGTCAGGCAGTCTAGTTTCTGAGAGTGTGGGAGGTCAATAGCATGCTTAAAGAGCCTTTGTTCTAGAACATTCTCCTGTACACACTCATACACACACACCATTAGAGAAATGGAGACTGGGATTTGAATTAAAAAAACAACAACTGGACAACATGAAAAAGGAAGCAACATATCTTTTGCATCTCTGAAACAGGAAGAAGATTCCATCTGCTCAGGCTAGTGCTAGCTGGCAGTGTATAAACTGAACTACGGCGAGTTTCCAGCCTTCCAGGTGTGGATGGACATCTATCAGTGAAATGTGAAATAAGACCCAAAGCCTTCCTTGCCATCTGAGTCTTGGGCTCAGGTTTGGAGTCTGGGTTTAGGACTCTGGGGTGTATGAATACTGACACTTTCTATTTGACCTGGAGCAACTCTGTAGCAGAATGGTGACTGGAAGGGGTGTAGAGGAGGTTGGATATTTGGAGTGATCATAGTCAATGTGGGTGCCCAGATAGAAATAAGATTCTCCCATGAGTGGATATTGTGTGGTTAGCTCCTTATTAATACCCTGAACTCATTTCCAGAATTTTAATAGTGACAATACTGACCTAAGTCCTGAATCCAAGTTTTCCTATCATTTGTGAAAACTGTACAAACATGAGTGAGATGTCAGTTAAGTCTGGATTTCAAGTTGAGAGGATGTTATCTGCAAACATGGTATCTCCAATCAGTGAGTAAACAGACTCATTTGCCTTGGGACTTAGGGCCAGACCAGAGAAGAGAGAAGGACCCCCTACCAACAGCATTTCCCTCTAAATGACCTTTGAATTCAGACGCAGTTGCCTGATCTCTTGCCTTCTAGGCTCTGTAAGGAATGTTAGCTCCTCAGGTGAGCATTGTGAGTTACTATGGAATTAACCCTTGGCCATCTAAGCCATGCTATATCTTCTCTTGTTTCCTCATTCTTTCCTCTGGGCTTTGGGCAGCTTTTATTGACCTGGAAAGGAGATAGAAGTAGATGACCTGCTGATGCTTCCTACATTGCGCTGTGGACTCACAACCTCTATGTGGCCATAACTGCTTTAAGAAAATAGCCTTGGGTTGGGTGTGGGTAGCTCATACTTGTAAATCTGGCTACTCAGGAGGCAGAGATCTGAAGATTGTGGTTCGAAGCCAGCCCAGGCAGAAAGTCTATGAGACTCGTTGCTTAAATCAACCAGCAAAAAAACTTCAGAGTAGTCCTGTGGATCAAGTGGTAGAGAACTAGCCTTGAGCAAGAATAGCTCGGGGACAGTACCCAGGCCCTGAGTTCAAGCCCTAGTACTAGCATGCACTGACAGACAGACAGACAGACAGACAGACAGACAGACAGACAGACACACACACACACACAGAGTCCTGGTTCTTCACAAACTCTAGGAAGTTTTATTTGGAATCTGTCCATCAAGAAATTAGGCATGCAGAGTCTAAAGCAAGCTTCCCTAGAGCTTTAAAAACAAGCTGGCTCAGTAAGACAGCACTTCCTAGAGTCGAAGGCTATGGTATTTTTGCCAAATGGGGTGACACCACAGTGCTCAGATGGGAGTTTTGGCATCCTTGGCTTGGTTTTACCCACATTTAAGGGAACTTGAGAAACTGCTTGTTGTTTCATGCCCACACTCCCAGCTCTCTGGAACCTAATCCTCCTTCTCCATAATAGTTGAAACATACAAAGATTCTCAGGAACTGGGAGGTGGTGGGTGACAATTAGACTTCTGTTCCTGGATGCTAGCTGAAACTGGTCAGCTGTTTCTGTGATACTGTTCACTTTGTGCTTCTACCTTTTGGACCTTTGGTTTTGACGTGAGGTTCTTGGACTGGGCCTGGCCTTCATGTTTACAGAGGCCATGCTGATAAGTGTACATGTGTTTTTAATATTTTGGCTTTCTCCACCACAAACATGTCAATGTGTATTATGCATGTGCATATCTAGACGTGCTATTGGCTAGCTAGGATTTGAGTAGCCTTTTAAAATCTTATTAAAAAAATTAATCTGTCCTCCCAAAGCTACCACTTTTTTGGGGGGGGTGTTAGTACTGGGGCTTGATCTCAGAGCCTTGGTAAGTTATTCCTTAACTTTTTCACCCAAGATTAGCATTCTACCATGTAAGCCAAAAATTTTCTGGCTTTTTGGTGGTTAATTGGAGATACGAGTCTCATAGACTTCCTTGTTCAGGCTGACTTCAAACTGCTATTCTCAGATCCCAGACTCCTGCATAGATAGGATTACAGGAGTGAGCCACCAGTGCCTGGCTCCAGAGCTGCTTTCTTAAAGCAGCTTCAGCCAACTGATGCATGCTTCCAAAGCTAACGCATTCATGAGCAACATGTTCCAAAAGGAGCAACTTTGACCTAGTGCCTAGATGACATTAAGGACCACCTTTAAATGTGCCGCTTGGATACAGATTGCATTTTGGACTCAGTAAACAGATGGGAATACCACCTTCCTGACCACTATGTAGTCCCTAGTTAGCTCAAGAGCACTCAGTTATTAGCCTTAAGCTAGCTATACAGAACAGAACCGTGGAGAGTAGAACAGCCATGCTGTTGCTTTAGGAAAAAGAAAAAAAAAGTATAAAGGGAAAAGCTGGGCACTGGGGGCTCACACCTATCATCCTAACCACTAAGGAAGCTGAGATTTGAGGGTGGAGACTTATTTCGAATGAACCAGGAAAAAGTTTAAAGTGGAGCTGTGGATCAAGTGATTAAAAAAGTTTAAAGTGGAGCTGTGGATCAAGTGATTGAAGGCCAGCCTTGAGTGAAAAAGCTACAGGACAGAGCCCAGGCTCTGAGTTCAAGATCCTCTCCGCCTGGCCGCCCCCGCCAAAACAAAAGTCCTCATAATCTCTTGAAATTTGGGAGTCCTATTACTGTTCCTTGCTGTCAAACTGACCCAAATTAACTACAGTGTAAAACATGCTTTTTATCCACCTCACACTTCTGGCTACTCCTCCACTCCTTGTCTTTCCTTCTTGTTAATTTCTTTCTTGGTTTTCTCTTATTTACTTATAATTATTGCTTTTAAAGGGGTGTTGACCTGTGTCTAGTTCTAGTAAACCAAACCCTCTCGTCCAGTGAAGCGATTGGTTAATTGCAATGCTGACTGACCGGGTAATGAGTGCAGCTCGCGGCAGCCGGGAGCTGATTGGCTGCGCGGGGAGACTCCAGGGCTTGGCGGCCGGAGCCCCGCGCACTCCAGTCCTGCAACGTCGGGAGTTGGAGCCGCGCGCTCGCCCGCAGCCCGCCGCGCCTCTGCAAGCCGGGACGGCGTTGGGTGCCTGCGCCTCGCTCTCCTCCGGCGCGAGCTCCCTCCGCGGCTCCTGGGGGCAGGCCGTGGGCCGCCACCCTCTGGAGACCCAGCAGGAGCGCGCGGTCGCGGAGCCCGACAGCGTCCGGAACTGCGCCTTTTGTCCCTTGGAGATTTCCTGGAGTTTGCGGCGGGACGCGGGCGTGAGGGCAGCGCGGGCAGCCCCGACGTCGCGGGAGCGAGTGCGGGGAGGCAGCATGGGCAGCGGGCGCAGCGCGGGGGGCCGCTACGGTGCCGCCTGGGGCGTGCTGCTGGCGCTGACCGCCGGGCTGATGGCCGAGGCTTCGGCCAGCGAGTACGACTACGTGAGCTTCCAATCGGACATCGGCTCGTACCAGAGCGGGCGCTTCTACACCAAGCCGCCGCAGTGCGTGGACATCCCGGTGGACCTGAGGCTGTGCCACAACGTGGGCTACAAGAAGATGGTGCTGCCCAACCTGCTGGAGCATGAGACCATGGCCGAGGTGAAGCAGCAGGCCAGCAGCTGGGTGCCCCTGCTCAATAAGAACTGCCACATGGGCACCCAGGTCTTCCTCTGCTCGCTCTTCGCGCCCGTCTGCCTGGACCGGCCCATCTACCCGTGCCGCTGGCTCTGCGAGGCCGTGCGCGACTCGTGCGAGCCCGTCATGCAGTTCTTCGGCTTCTACTGGCCCGAGATGCTCAAGTGTGACAAGTTCCCCGAGGGGGACGTCTGCATCGCCATGACCCCGCCTAATGCCACCGAAGCTTCCAAGCCCCAAGGTAAGGACGGGGTGACCGACCGCACGCGCGCGCACGCGCGAGCCCCGTCCCCGCCCGGCTCGCGCCCCGCCGGACGGGCCCCGGGGACCCGGCGAGCGCCCCAGCGAGCACCCCGGCTGCCACGCCCCGTCTCGCCACCCCCCCCCCAAGCTGGAGTAGAGAAGTGCTGCCAGACGTTGTCCTCCATGGGACATGAACGATTCCCAGTTCCCCGAGTGCTCGAGGTGTCGCCTTGCGCCTCTCGCGACCCCGATGCCCCGCGCGTGTGCGTGGGAGCGGCTGGGCACCTCCGCCAGGACAGCGACCCGGGCCGCTCCCAGGAGCTGCGCTTCTAGGGATCCAGTCTCTTTTTTCATACCTGAAACAAAGCCTCGCGCCTTAAGGAAAAAGTGCTTTTCCTTTCCTGTGGGAGGATTCCCAATCCCCATGCAACATTTTTAGCGACCCACTGGGATGTTCCCATAGGAAAAGAGCACTCTGGAAGGAGATAATGCCGTGCGCAGTGTTAGTTTTCTTTCTTTCTTTGCGGTTGTTGTTGTTTTCCAATACCTTGAAGTCCTGTGGACTGCCGCAGAACTGGCTGCGCGGGGGAAAAAGTTTAGAAACGGCCGAGATTTGTAATTTTTTTTCACCTCACAACTGAGTTCGGGAGATTTAAGGGGTGGAAAAATCTCCGAACAGTATCTTTGCATACCCCTCCCCCCCATTCGCTCATTTACACAAATCCTCGGGTAATTAGAAAGATAAAAATGTAATTAGCGTTTTGTTTATCTCCCCCAGAGGGGGTAGGGACCTGCAAATTGGACTTTGCAAATTCCTAATAGCCCTAGACCCGTGGTTCCTCCCGAGCCCCTCCTATTTAAAGGGCAATTAAAGAGTGAGGAGGGGAGAAAAAAATCTGGAAACGAAGAAAACTAACCACCAGCTCAGTTTGATGGCCTGAATTCTTCCAAAGCAGGGGTAGGGAGCAGAGACATGCAGGTAATCAGGAAGCCATGACCCCTGCGTTCTGCAGTGTTTGTTTGTTTGTTTGTTTTGGTGACAGTAGAATTTGCCTGGGTCCTTTAACTTGTGGTTGATGCTCAAGAGAGGGGTGGGCAGTCACCTGCCCTCCCCCTCCCATCCAAGTGAGCATAAAGGTACTTGTGGGCTACTGGGAACACTGGGAATACCCTTGCTTGCATTAGGAGAGACTCGCGTCGCTGGGATCTCCGCTGAGGGGCTTAGGCCTTGGGTGGTTTGTGGCTGTAGCCTCTTGTTTGCCTGTAAGGTGACTGGTCTTCTCTCAGAGTGAACTTCCCTGAAGGTGCTGCGCTTTGGGAAGGAGAAGGGTGCATTCATTCCGCAGGGCGAAGTCTGTGGTGTTGTGTAGGTGTGGAGTCATCTGTCTGCAGAGCTTCCTTTCTTAGGTCCTGCTGCTGGGTCAACCAGGTTCTGCCCAGAAGCTGTGGCCTGTCTTCTTTGGATTGGGTTGCTCTTGATGATTACTGTTACCCCTTTCTGGGACCATTCATTGGTGGGCATGAAGTGGAGATCTCTGAGGAAATAGCTTTATGGTAAGTGGTTGATGCCCAAGAGAAGGATGAGGGGGACTGAGGGGCAAGAATCCCCCACCCCACCCCCTTCCTCCGAAGGCTGCCATGGTATGGAAGAGTTCCACTATTACCAGACTGTACATCTTGGGCTGGTTGCTGAGGTTCCACTGTTCTACTCCCTTCTCTTCTGGGGTCAAATTGTCACCCACCTTTGCTGACTGGAGGGGAAAAACCTGGGGAGAATTAGTCAAGAGTGGAGTGGGGCTGAAGGTCGTTCTTTCCTCTGCAGTTTTGGTGAGAGCAATTCTGGGAGGGCTCATGGTTCTTCTAAGACTTCAGCCCTCCATGAGGAACCCCCACATGGTATCCTCAAAGGATATCATGTGTGCCTGCCTGCGTGTGTGCCTGCGCGCAAGCAAGCAAGCAAGCATGCACTCCTCTGTGCCCGCATTTAGGAGGCAGGCAGAGACATATCAAACTACTGGTCCTCAGAAACTTATGGATGGTACATTTTGATATTACATGTTAGTACTCTTATTTGCTTTTCCTCCATTCTTTGTATTCTTTGGTATTAAAACCAAGTTTTCAAAGCAGTGTCAATCTTTGCATACATTATGTTGGTTTCTGCTCATATTTTCAACACATGGAATTTTAAGGGTATTGGGCAGCCCTTAGTTATTAAGGGTAGACTTAATAATGAAAAATGAGTCAAAAGAGATTTTCTCAAAGGCAGATGCCCAAGCTACATGGGCTTCTGTTACAAGAAGGGCAGTCACTTCTTTTCCAGGAAAGTGATTTCTAAATCTTGCATTTATATTAGACAAGTCCAAGAAATTGTTTTTCCCCTATCTTGCCAGGTTTAATGGTGGGAGTGGTAGGAACAAGCCCATTTCGTGTTCAGTACAGTTGTGTTGTTAATCATGTTGTGTTTTAAGCTTGCCTGGGTATTTTAGATACAGCTTTTAGAGGCATCATGCCCTTCCTCCCTCCCAGATCCTTTCTTAGGATCTCTTTCGGCCACTCAGTGAGCTGGCTAGGGAAGATCTGGTGTGTATGTGTGTGTGTGTGTGTGTGTGTGTGTGTTAAATATTTGCATGTGTGTATTAGACAGAGACCTTGTGTGTGAGGCAGATTTTGTGTATGTGTGAGAGAGCATGTATGTGAGAGATCTTGTATGTATATTATGAGATCTTTGTGTGTATGAGATTTTCAGTGTGTAAGAGATTTTCAGTGTGTGTGAAAGACCTTGTGTATGAGAGAAAGATCTTGTGTGTGTGTGTGTGTGTGTGTGTGTGTGTGAAGGAGAGATCTTGCGTATATGGGCAAGACACATTTGTGTGTGAGAAAGATCTAATGGTGTGAGACAGAGATCCTATTTGTAAGAGAGATCTTGTGTTGTGTGTGTGTGTGTGAGAGAGAAATATCTTGTGTGTGTGAGAAGTGATGCATGTTTATGTGTTAGATATGACTGTGTAAAAGGTCTTGTGTGCATGTATGTATACTGATGCAATAATTTAAAAAAATTTAGAAGAGTGACATAATTTTGATTCTAGTCTTTGCCCTTCTCCTCTACTCTCCTTTAAATATTGGTAAAATATGAATATTAACAAAATACCAAGCTTTTTAGTTTTTGTTCTTATACTCTGAACATTTAAATATACCTCACAACTGTAGATTAGTTCCCTTCTCAGAGGAGCGAGGATGGATTTCGCTGGCAGCTCAGCCTGCAGGGCCACAAGGACACACAGGGGCACAGATAAATATTGCCTTACACATTCCTCTTCCTCTCCCTGGCTAAAACTTCTCAGAGCTGAGTCTGGCAGTGAGAAAATGGAGGCTAGGGGGAACCATGTTGAAAATACATAGCTCCCAGTAGGGAGCTCTTGCTACTGAGGTCCCTAACATCCAAAGGAAATTCATGGCACTAAGAAAAACACCTTCATGGGGTGCAGAGTCCTTGGCTGCCAATAGGATCCAAAGGAGATGTGGTGAGTGTGTTTGGAAGACACCTAGCTTTATATTCACAATGCTCTGACTTTGGTCGGTATTATATTCCTAGAACCTTGAGCTGTGATAACTTCTACTTAAAAAACAAAAGCAAACACAAAACTAACGAAACAAAGAAAACCTTGAAGCACACTTTACACACCTGGTAGAGCTCACAGAGTCCTTTCCATGTTGCAATACTTCTTATCCTTCTTTCACTCCTTGGAAGCAAGAACTGTGATGGAATATTCTGGGTAAGGTTTTTCTTTGGTCAGAAAAGTTCTGGGTGCAAAGCATAGTCCCAACATTTGGCCTAAAGAAGTCATGCCAACCTCTGTTTGGAGTATAGTTCTTGCTGCCCCAAGAATCTGAAAGCTATTTGACCCTGAATACACAGTGCAAGGGAAAGCGAAATGTGTTGGGACAGGGGCATGGCCTCTGCTAGGCCCTGCAGGAAAAGGTCTGGAGAGAGGTTATCTCCTGAGTGAGGCAGGATCCTGGGTGGATGGTGTAGCTTCCTCCTTTCTGCCTTGGGGAAGAGCCGTAGAGGAGTCCACGAGGAGGGAAACGATGTGCTAGAACCACAGTAAGAAGAAGAGAATAAAGAAGAGGTACTTAGCTCACCAAACTTGGTCTGACTCGGCCTTCTAGCACCCTTGGCATCCACCTTAGTCAATTTTCCTATGCTCTTTAGCTGCAGCCCAGCTCAGCCTCCTATGGTGTGTGTGTGTGTGTGTGTGTGTGTGTGTGTGTGTGTGTGTGTGTGTGTGTGTGTGGTGATTTTCTGGATCCTTGATGAGCATCAAGTTTAACAGATGAGGAGGAAAAAGAGGAGGAGGAGGAGAAAGAAGAGGAGGGGAGTGGGGGCGGGAAGCCAGTGATGAGAAGACACTTCCATTGACCCTGGAGGACTCTCTGGCAGCACATTCTCTCTGCCCTTTTATAAGAAATAGGGTCCTCTTATCCCCTCCCCCAGCTTCAGCAGCATTTTGGCTTGTGGGAGGCCTCTGGTTCTGGCCTCAGATGTCTCTTCCCCCTGGGCCAAGCCACCTCCCAGTAGCCTGCCTGTCTGCACTCACCTCTTCAAAGCTCTTCCCAGTCCCTTCTGAAAGAGCCTCTAAGGTCTCCCCCCATCCAGCTCTGTCCTCCCATTTGGTGGCCCATTCCACCCCCATTCAGCTGTTGGCTTCCTGCTCAAATCAGGCCACTTACTGCAATGGGCCTTTTGAAGAGGGGACTTTAGGGCCCTGGGGCTGAAGCTGATAAGTCTGCTTTTTGCCTGGCTTCTGGAAAGCTGATCAAATGATGAGCTGATTTGTTAGTCCTCTGCAGGTGGGACAGGAATTGGATGCAGTTATTTAAAGGAAAGGTGGAAGGACAGGAAGCAAACAATGACTCATTTTTGTTTAAGCCAGCTTTTTCTAGGGACTCACGGCAGCCTAGTTCCATCTACTTTTTGAGTGGAAGCTCAATTAAGTGTGCTGTAGTCAGCATCACTAGACCAACACTTTTCTCTTTTTCTTTTTTTTTTGCAAATTTATTTGTGTGTGTGTGTGTGTGTGTATGTGTGTGTGTGTGTGAGTGAGTGTGTGAGAGAGAGTGAGAGAGAGAGAGAGAGACATGAGGCTTGAACTCTGGCCTGAGCGCTGTTCCTTCAGCTCTTCAGCTCAAGGCTAGTGCTCTACCACTTGAACCACAGCGCCAATTCTGTTTTTTTGGTGGTTTATTGGAGATAAGAGTCTCACTGCCTTTCCTGCCCAGGCTGGCTTTGAACCACGATCCTCAGGTCTCAGCCTCCTGAGTAGCTAGGATTATAGGAGTGAGCCATGGGTGCCTGGCTTAATTTCTTTATTGTTGGTTTAGAGGTGATTTATAACAAGGTTACCTTTACATATATCAAGTACATTTTCTTCCTTTGGCTTACTATCATCAGTTCCCTCATTCTCTCCTATTCTCTCCCTCCCATCTCTGCCTATGAGTTGCATGGTTCACTTTCATCAATGTCCAGTACAGCCAGTGGGCTCTGATACTGTACTTTTTCACCCATTTTCTGCTGATTCTGTGCCCTCCTCCCCCTTTCCCTCAGATGTGCACGTGTATACATCGTGTATGAGGTAAAGAATACGGAGTCATCAGAAAACAAAAGGACAAATTAAGAAAAGGTCCTTTGTTTTCCTTTGGAGTTTGTTTCTTTGGAGTTCATTTCAGTCTGTATGTTATTTTATATACATATGAGTTGGTGCTTGGGCATTACAACTTGGTGATTTCTCCTAAAACTATCCTCTTTTGGTCTCACTGTATGTGAGTGTCTGGAATCCTGTATAATTTGTCATATCCCATTGTGTTGTAAATCTAACTTATGCAGATCAGGGAGAACATGTACCGTTTTAGACCAACACTTTTCAAGAGCCATTCTCCTACTTTAGATACTGGGTATAAGGGCCCAGGAATCTTTCTTGATTCTCAGGACATCCTTCTGAAATTCTAGAAGACCTGTAGCTACTTTGCCTGGTCCTCAAGCCAGTCTCTTCCCTAGTGCTCTCCAGCCCCATAATTTATAACTTCTGCTTCTTTCTCTTTTTCTTCCTAGGTACAAATGTGTGTCCCCCATGTGACAACGAATTGAAATCTGAAGCCATCATTGAGCATCTTTGTGCAAGCGAGTTTGGTAAGACATCATTCCTGGCCACTTCTGGGGCTTTCCTCTGGGCTGTGTCTCCAGTGAGATGCAGTGCATTTCAGTGGAGCTTTTCCTTCTCTGCCTCCTTCTCCAGTTTCTGCTTTGTTCAGGTAAAGAGAAGGATCTGGACAGGTAGAGAATAGACCAATATGAGTCATTGTACATATTTTGGGGAACCCTCTTGAGGGGTGGACAGAGGCAGACTTAGAGACAATTAGACAGGAGCCAGGGAACACACCAGGTCTTCAGAGGCTGCCCCTTCTCAGTGCCCCAGTGAAGCCTTTGGTGGGCTCTTTCATTGGGGTTCATTTTCATATTCACCCCTAGGTGTCAGCACTACTCTTCCCAGGGTGTCCTGTTAAGAGGGGAGATTTTCATGCTTGGGGGATTTAGAGGTGGTAGGGGCAGTCAAGTTCTCCGAGGCAAAGGAAACTGATATCCCAAGAGTGGAATTTTCCTCCCTTTTCCTCTGTCATTCAGGGTTAAAAGAATTCCCATCAGCACCTGCAGCTCCTGGAGCAGGGCTGGTTGAGGTCTGGGGGCCAGATCCGGGCATAGTCCTGCGTTAGGGACATTTGGAAGACCTAGTTCCAAACACCTTGGCATCTCTCCTCTGGGAAAATAAATGTGAATGTCATCATCTTGGAAGGTCAGCTCCTTGCAGCTGCCTCTGCTTTTCATGGATGCAGAGAAACAGCCTAGGACAGGGACAGTTTATTGAAAGACAAGTTCAGCCTGACACTGAACAACGCATTTTTCCTAATTTCTACATTGTGTCCCTGAGGTTGGATTTCTTACAAAATTCTTACTAGGAAAAACATAAAGGTAGGTAATGTGAGTCTTTGTGTCCATTTGAAACCGCCTCCTCTGTGTTTTCATCAATCAGATATGACAAAGTACAAGAAAGGGTACAGGTAAGGTCCCATGTCTCGGTGAGTCACACACATGCGGGATCACACATGAGACTGAGGATATTGTACATCATGGCAGGCACACACTCAGTGTTTGCAACTGAATGTAAGGTCGGAGAATTCAGACCAAGAGGGGATATCACAAGAATGGGGTTTCTCTCCCTTCTCTCCATCACTCTGGGTTGAAAGAAAGTTCCCATCAGCACCTGCAACTCCAGAGAGCCTCAGGGAATTGTATCTTGGTTGTGGCTTTATTTTGATATTAGGTGTGCCTGCCTGTCCCCTTGGATCTTGGAGGAGGATAATACCTCCAGAAAAAAAAAAAAGGTCCCCAGTGAATTCTACTGCTGATATTCGAGTCACATCCTTTCCTTGTTGTCATTCTTTATTTTATTTTAAAAACTAATTATGTTTTTGTGACAAGGTCTTGTTCTATTCCCCAGAGTAGCCTTGAACTTGTGATTCTCCTGCTGTAGCCTCCTGAGAGCTAGGATTACAAGCATACACTACAGATGCCTGACATCTTGTCATTCAGAATGAACTTAGAATTGAAGACATTTGCAGTGATGCATGTAGTCTGATTGTTCTTTCATGTAACTAATGATCCTATCATTTGCTTCTGTGTGTGTGTGTGTGTGTGTGTGTGTGTGTGTGTGTGTGTCGGTACTAGCTAGGGCTTGAACTCAGGGCCTAGGTGTTATTCCTGAGCTTTTTTGCTTAAGGCTAGCACTCTACCACTTGAGCTAGAGTTCCACTTCTAGTTCCTCTTGTTGGTTAGTTGGAGAATAGAGTATTATAGACTTCCCAGCTTGGACTGTCTTCAAACTTTCATCCTTAGAACTCAGCCTCCTGAGTAGCTAGGATTACAGGTGTGAACCACTGGCACCTGTGTTAACATTTGCTTCATAATGTTAACATTCATGCTGTATTGGGCTGCGCCAAACTGGGCTAAGTCAGGCAGGTCTTCCTGTACAATAGTCTGTGGGTGCACAGTTGCATACTACCTTAGCAACCAGTTTTTTTAAATCTATAAAGGCATATTGGCTTCTTTCCCAAACATACATTTGAACATAGAGGAAGCAAAAACATAAGTAAATCTCCCCAATATCCTGGCAAGAAGCCTTTTGTTACATGACTATGGCAAGAGAGTAAGCTCAGATATAGATAAAATCCCAAAGGATAGCTGAGGACAACTAAGGGAATGCTCTTTGAATGTCATTGATCTTCAAATATGGTAAATCATAACACTCACATTTAGAAGTTGGCCCCTTGACATTTTCAAAATCCAGGAATCATATTTCTAGGGAGATTGAGGGGTAATGAATGCATTAGTGGGTGCTGTTTTGTGTTCATGTAATTTAATCAGGTTCAGCTCCTTGGGGAAGAATGATGGAAGCCCCTAGAATCCAGTGTGTAGTTGACTGGCAGGTGATGAATTTCCTGTCAGAAAGCTCAAACTCTAGTATGGCTGATCATTGCTGTGCATGTATCCCTTTACTCAGTATTTATTGAGTACAAAACACTAGCCTCAACACTGTAATCCCAAATTGCCTACCTACAATAAATTTAAGATTTTAAAGTAATTTTAAGTCTTTTACGTTGTAACCAATCAGTAACCAGGGACTTGCTAGGTATTTATGACTCAGTTTATAACTCAGGCCGTAGACAGGGCTAGGGGAACTCAAGGCCAAACTTAGTGTTATGAAGCTAAGTAAAGGACCAGGTACTGGTGGCTCACGCCTATAATTCTTTATGTTCAGGAAGCTGAGCTCTGGAAGACTGAACTTAGAAGATCGTTGGGCAGGAAAATCAGAGAGACCATCTCTGACATAACCAGCAAAAAATTGAGCTCCAGGCATGGCTCAAGCGATAGAGTACTAGCACCCAGCAAGCCTAGCAAGGGTGAGGTTCTGAGTTCAAACTCTAGGACCTGACTAAAAAAGAAAAAAATTGATAAAGAGAAGAAAAAAGACCACCACATCTTTAAGCTCAGAATCTTTGTCTAGAACTGACCAACCCCACAGTTGGTCAGGTCTCCCTGTCCACCAAGGCTTTGTGACAGTTAAAATAGATACATTTGGTAGACTTGGGCTGAAAAGCTTGAATGTAATTGATGTAAAACATAGGGTAGAAGTCTAAAAGGGGCTCTGGTAACTCACCTGGCATGATGGATGACCTTTCCTACTGCCTGAGAGCCTGCTAACTCAGCAAGTCACCAGGCACTGTGAACCAGAATGATTTGCCTGTGTTAGTGCTAGACTGTGTCTACAGCATTATTTCCTTCTTTAGCCCAGACATTATTTCCTTCTTGGGGTCATAAGGTCCTCTGGGATCTTGAGAACATCATATCAAGTCCTCTTACTTAGATAGTGAGGAGTCTGACATCCCCCTGGAGTTTTTTTCACTCACCTTGGGATTACCTTTCCCACCTATGAGATGATGAATGTGCTGACACCTCACCATTGATGTATTCCTCTGCACAGCGGGAGGATAGGGTGTGCTAGACTGTTTTGATGGACACAAATTTTCTAGGGTTTGTGCTTGTGAGGCTCTTTTGTGTGTGGGTGTGTATGTGCTGGTAATGCAGCTTGAACTTGGGGCCTTGTGCTATTTACTGCTTGACTTTTAACTGCTCAAGGCTGATACTTTACCACTTGAGCCACACCTCTACTTCTTCCAGGTTTTTTTTTTTTTTTTTTGCTAGTTTACTGGAGATAAGAGTAGCTAGGACTACAGGCATGAGCCACCAGAGCTTGGCTTCTTGTGAGCTTCTTTAAAAAATACTTTGAATTCCCCCTCCCCCTCCCAGTTTCTCACCCATTTAGGGGTTGAGCTTAGTAGAGTCCTTCTTAGGCGCCTAGAGAAGGCAACCTTCATTTCAAGTGAGCAAAGCAGTCAGCCAAACTGATGGGATTCAGTTAGGAAACAAAGAAATTTGGAAATGCAGATTGACACACACAGAGAAGAAAAAGAGTGTTTGACTCCCCACAGCAGTGGCCTTGGATGGGCAGGGTGGGTGGAGGCACCAATTGCTGGAAGGCATTCTGTGAACCCCAGAAAGAGGGAGGTGTGTTCCTTGTGGGGTCAGCATGCACACCAGCCTTTCTGCCAGCACATCCTTAGATTTTCACAGTCACTGTGTGGCCTGGGTATGCCCAGCCCATTTACTTTGTCCCTGGGCAGTGTGGTTTTTCAGCTCTCTGGTAGGATTGTCTGGCCATTTGTCTTCTTTCCACCCCTGCACTCTACCCCTCTGTTCAGAGCACATTTTTTTCCCCCAACAGAGGAAAACATCAGCAGAAAAGCCTGTGTAGTGATGCTCAGGAATGCAGCTGGATCAGCTTGGATCAAGCACCAGATGTGGAAAGCCAAAAGTTAGATGGTGCAAAGTCTCCAGATTCAACATGGTGTCCAACCTCCTGCTGTGCTTCAGTTAGGGCACACAGCTGTTTTTTGTCCTCTGCTTTTTCCTGCAACAGGGTGCCCTGTTTGCCTCTTGAACAGAATTTGCAAGCTGCCACACTAATAATCTTGGTGTTAACAGCTCAGTGCCCATAGCTTCCTTCCCCCCCCCCCCCCCCAACCTCCCAGGTTAGTTTACCTCTGGGATAGGAAGATCTGATTTATAACTGCTTTGAGGTTAGACTCCTGCCTCCAGCCACTTTCTGGAGCTGCTTCCCAGTACCTGTAACCCCCAAAGCTTTCCTGGTAGATATTTTCTTGATGAAATACAGTGCTTTTGCTAAGGGAGATCAGCTCCTTTGGTTCTATAGTCCTGTATTTTCTTGCTGTGGAAAAGATTTCTTTGCCCCCAGACATTTTCCCTGCCTTCTGGAAAGACTTTTCTTTTTGCCTGTATATTTCCTCATCAAGAGAAAAAAAAAAAACCCACACTGTATTTTGCATCTTAAAATTAGCCAAATAGAAAAGGAAAAAAAAATCCACTCTCGCAGTCAGCACTTGGGAGCATTTCCTAGAAGAAATGTTCTCACGGTCCTAGCACCTCTGCATGCCTGCCTTTACTCTTCCTCACAGGTCTCTCAAGATACTTGGCTGTGCTGTTGGATAAAATACAGT